TATATATATATATATATATATATATATATATATATATATATATATATATAGATTATGCATGCGTGTTACTAGGGGCAGATTTAAGCATGCCTTGAAAATTTGTAAACTGGAGGCAGAGAGAAGCTCAGGGCTAACTCATTGCAAAATCATTGCCTGATTATGTTGGATTCTAGCAAAAAGTAAACAAAATAATACCACATAAGCCCACTCTTACTGACACCCTTGATGGTGCTGTTGGTGAAATGAATATATGTGCAATTTCTGGACAGATCATTTTGAGAATATCTTTTTGTGTTCATAAGATGCAGATAAGAACTTTGTATTGAATAAGATAAAGGATTCTGAAAGTGTCTCATCACTGTAGAAATTATTAGAAATTATAAAAGTTATCTTTTTGGAAAATCAACTGGCCATGATCAACCTTGCAGCTGACCACCTACGGAATATTTTGCCAGTAAACATGTTTTACCAGCATTTGCTTCAATTTAAATGCTTAAACATGGCCATATACCTGAAAAACTAACGAAAGTCATTATTGTGCGTATTGTAAAAGATAAATCCAGCGACATTTCTTCGAAAAGCAGGCCTAATTATAGGCCTATTGCTCTAGCGAATGTACTCTCAAAGGTTTTTGAAATTGTTATGATGATTTCTTGGTACAACTTGTGCTCTGGAGATAATCAGTTTGCTTTTAAAGCTGGTTTACAGACACCTGTATATATTATTTTTGTTATTACAAGTGGTTGAATTTTATCGTAATTCCAGTCCGGTTTATAAATTGTTTTATTGACGCCTTTAAGGCATTTGACAGAGCCAACCACATACTCTTCAAACTTATTGAGAGGAACATTCCCTTATCCATTGTGAAGATGCTTTCTTGGTATTATGTGCGGATGTTGTGTTCGATGGGTAACACTTTCTCTAAATGGTTCGGTGTGAAGCAACGAGGAATTTATGTCCCCTCTTTTGTATAATAATTATATTTTGATGATTTAAATACTAATCTTATTAATTGCAATATTGGTTGTATTATTAATGGAGTGCGACTTAATAACTTAAGCTATGCAGATGGCATGACCTTATCTTATTTTCAAGTTTTTTAATGTGTGTCTTCCATGTTATTCCAGAATCAATATTAATAACCAGGAATTTTGTGTTTTCTACAAGAGGGATTAAGTGCTCATTAATTTTAATCTGTCTATTTTTCAAAAGGAATATGTTTATTAGTGTTTCGAAAAATAATTGCAGACCATTGTTTTATATTTATAGCTTGTCGATATCTGTGAATCGTTTGGCATAAATCACGATATATGTTTTAATCCTAAGAAATCGATATGGTAATGGTAATGGTTTGGGACTTGTAAAGCGCATACTACATGGTCTCTATGCGCTATAAGTTACACAAAAGAAACAAACCAAAAACTAAATCCTAAAGTCTAACAAAGCGACCTAAAAATAAAAAATAAAAAATCAGAAGCAGACCTTCGCAGGGGGACCAACATCACCGCACCGTTTTCCTGCAATTTAAGACCACTGGCAAGCAGTGGTTTGCAGGATCATAACTCACAGATGCTCAAGTGATGTTGACGTTCTAGACTAGCCTATCCTAGAAAAAAAACTATAAAAAAAAAAGGTAAACAGCAGAAATGGAAAAATTTAAAAAGTTTGATAAAGGTAGTTCTTGAGTCTTTCCTTAAAAATGGATACAGAAGGAGACTGTCGGATTTCAATAGGGAGTGCATTACATAGCTTGGGAGAAGCAGCTTGAAAGGACCTCTCTCCATATTTAGAACGAATTGAAAAGATAAAGTAGGCCTATATGGGTGGGTGGGTGTGTGTGTGTGCAAAATAAAATGTTGAGTTTGTAACAGAGTTTGTTCAGATTCTAATTGCATTTCTTGCTTTTTTTGGCGGGGGCGGGTGTAGGGGGACCGAGGGATAATTCCTGTGACACCGCGGTATCCGCCTACGAATTGACGCTTGATCAAACTCTGGAGATCTGAACAGATGATGATGATGATGGTGAAAATGATGGTGATGATGATGTGATGATATGGTGTTGATGGAGGGATCGCGATGGTGAATGGTGATGTTGAATGATGATATTGACGTGGTGGTGATGTTAATTATTCCATCACTCAGGTAGATAAATCTTATTTATTCGTTTGATGGAAGGTTATCCTGAGTACAAGCATCTCAAAATCCAAGGTTAATAACTTTATATACATGCCGGCTTATCTGAAACCCTGAAAAATTCGAGAACAATAACAGTCATACGTTTTAAAATTGTTTACATCTGTGGTCTGCCTGATTGTTGTTAATAAGATAGTGATGGAGAACATTCATGATTTTCTGTGACTGGAGTGGGTTCTTTAACTTTAATTTTGCTATGACATGGGTATCAACCCCCATTGATATAATAATAGGTTGGTCTTAAAACTTTAGTACCAGTAGTATACCAGTTGCAAATTTATAAAATTATGACAAATGTGCTAATATAATGTTAAAAAATAGCATGTGTTAAAATATATTTTAAAAAAATCACAGGCTTGCTTTAAATAAAGAGACGATGGAGTGTATTGCGATGCCTACCAGCAAAACGCAAGTTATTTGCTTAGAAGTGCGACCATGGCTAAATATATAACGGATATATTTTATACAAAATTATACAAACCTTTCAAAACATCTTTGTCCATGGCTAAATATATAACGGATAAATTTAAACACAAAATTATACAAACCTTTCAAAACTTTTTCAGTTCTTTTACAAAATTCAGGATGAATTTCCCTAATTATTACTGGTTGGCTTGTCAGGAAATTGGGAGTCCACGCCATATTTATGCCTAACTATTTAGGCCTACAGCAAGGGCTTTTTGTTATTTTCACTGATCACTATAATTTCCTGGTTCACGACTTTTAAAACGCTATTTTGGGTCCCATTGTCACCATACTCGTTTAAAGTTATGCACGTCACACGTCGGTGCGCGTCTATAGTCTTGCGAGACAGTGATCTTTGTTGCACGCATTATCAGCCATACCTTTTAGGCCCTACACTGTATGTTTTTTTAACACACTTTAAAGAGTATTGAGGCTGAAATAACTTTCAAAAATGTGAATAATGAGGCTGAGGTAAAATATCAAATGAGGTTTTTATTTAGAAAAATCTAAAAAACAACAAATCAAGCTAGTACCGTATAAAGTACCGTAACATAAAGTATTAATGTTTAAAAAAGGTATATTAACATTATACTTTATTAACGCTATCAGATGTGATGTACTGTTCCATCAGCGAACGACACAAAATCTCGGCTAAGCATGTGCTGAAAATTATAATTTCTCCCTCAAAACAGCTTCATATAGGCCTATCCCCCGGTCGTCCTGCCAACAAGGGTTATTAACCGTTGTAACACTGCCTGTAAAATGTAATTTTTGAGTTTTTCAGACAATAAAATTATTGAATCTTGAATCTTAATTATATCCGTGATGAAATCATCAGTTAGGGCCTAATTATCAATTAGCTTATTAACCATTACTCATATAATTATATAAATCCTCGTTGTAAACTTGGGACCTATGTTTACAACGAGGACCCATGCCCTTTATGCATGGGTCCATATATCGGTATCCATTCCGGTTCGAGAATTTCATCTGATTCAATAAAATAGTAGGAATTAAGTTATTTATCTACAAGATAATTATCTACTGGTCATACACTCATAATCATTTTTCAAAATTGAAAAAAAGTATCAGATTGTCCGTGTATGATCTTTGTAAAAAAAATATCAGATCAGTGATGATTATTGTATGCTCATACACTTTTTTTAAAATAAGAACACCGATGCTGAAATTTAAAAAAAAGAAGAAAATCTAAAATGAGTAGAACTATAGAAAACCTGAACAAATCGTATTTGTACCTTTGTGCGAGTGCGACTATACCCTCTATGCAGTACAGTAATACACTGCTGTACAATAATAGATTTCTATCTTTGAAAAATGTGTAAAATAAAAACAACATTAAATTTGAGCTTGAGTGACAAAAAGAAATAAGAACACTGAGCCTGGAAAAATGTTGCTGGTTCTTTAGAATGATTTTGAACAAGCGTGCAATTAATTTATAACATTACTTGATACATATCAGGCCTAACCTATCTACTGTTAACATGGGCATTTTGTATTATCGTATCGGCAATGTTATTTTTTTGTGTGTAGTGTAATCTTTTATTAGTACCTTTTTGATGATTAAACTAAATTGAAGAAATGAGTTTTGTTATTCCTTTCATTGTAGTTTAAACGAACAACTGTATTCATTATCTCTATTATTTGTTGACTTGTTGGCCCATTAATCATACAGTTGTAAAAAAGTAGGCCTACCGCTTAGTCATCGACATAGTAGTCAATAAGAATAGGCCCTAGGCCTATATCACATTTCTATCTTTATTGTGGAATACGAAATTAATCCAGAAATTCAACACGCATTTTCAATAACAGATTCCATTTTATAGAGGGCGCTATATCATTAAGCCCTAGCAGCGCTAATTAAAATCCAAACCATCGATCAACAAGGAGGATTAAATTATTATAGAGTATGAATCCGGATTTGCTGACATACCAAATGTGTTAAAAATTAAGTATTTCAGTTTGTGTACGTTCATTTTACTAGCTATGCATGAAATCCGTTAACAATTTGCGGTTGTAAATATGTAGGAGGAGGAAACGAAAGTGTAAGTGAGACTGTCAGTGTGAATTCACAGTCTACAGACAGGTTGTTTACGCTGTCAAGGCTCTTTTCTCGGCTGAATGAACTTGTTTTTAATTGAGAGAGGGCTAGCAAGTGTAGTCATGACGGCGTTCATGTACGAGCCATTATACATCTCAAAAATTGCATCTGTTAATCTAAATAACTGTAAGTAAGAAAGCATCTGTTCATTTTTTAGTACAGTATCAACAAATATTTTCAAGACTAGGCTACCTGTAATAAGTTCGAACTTTAATTAACTCAAACGACCACCATATTATTCTAATCCACTTTTTTAGTCCTAGTCGGAGGGAAGCCTACTTAACCCAGGGTGTTGTTACTAGGCCTAGGCTAGACCTATTCTTTTGCTGGATACTGGTTTACTTTAATTTTCATAGCTACTACTAACCAGGCCCGTAACCAACAAGGGGTTAAAAGCAAAGATTCTGCGATATACAAAGGTTTACTTACACTAGCTAGAGCAAGAGAGCAGGTAGGCTCCGCCTAGCTAGGCCTATAGACAAAAATGTTAATAATATATCACACCTATCTAACCATGGAGGTTATACCTCCATGATCTAACTAATACTGCCTTAGCATGTCAAGACAGATAAACGAAGCAATGGTTATTCTAATTCACTCTATGATCTTGTGCAAAACATCAATTTTATTAACCATTTTGCGCATCTGATCACATGGCAGATGTCTGAATACACTAACCCACATCCCACATCTACTTTTGTTGGATTTATAAATGAAAAGTGATGATCTAATAATGTTTCTACTTGCCCTAAGGCTCTGTCTTCAAGCCTTTTGTATGGGTGGGCCATGTGCTTATGGGTGTGATATGACATTTTTCATGTGCCTAGCAGTAAGGTACCGTATGCCAGTGCCTATGAGCAAATTACTAATATTTTGTCACAGAAAATTTGAAAGTATGGACAGATACAGTAGTAACAAGTGGCCTGGTAATTATTTTGATGATAACTAGTCAAAATATTTAAAAGTGTTCATGTTTTTCATTTATTTTTTTACCATGTACTTTATTTTAAAAGGTATGAACTGAAAATGTCCACGAAAAGTTTAAGCGACACAGAAGCTGGCAAGTCCAAAAGTTCCAGCAGAGCCAGTTTAGGAACAAAAAACGCTCTGTATGATCCCGGAGGAGCTCCGAAAACCGGAGCATCAGCAACTGGAAGCAATGGCAAAATCAGCGACACCAAATCTCTTAGTCGATCTGATGACAACCTGAACACAGACCAGGATACCAATTCATGTAAATTAGGCCAAAGTGTTGACGATAAAGGGCGTGATATAAATGCAGATTCACGACTGAGCAGGATTGATGATGCCTGGCCGTCACAAGAGCACGACCAACCGCTGAGATTGCTGATTCTCTCAAGTAAAATAAAAAACTATTCATCCATTGGGAATGCGATTCTTCCCAATGTGAAGTTGGTGCAATATCGTTACGAAGGATCTTCTTTAGACGCAATTCTTAATCAAGTGGGCCAGACATTGGGAACAAAACAAGTCCACAGTGTAGCTTGTGTTCTTCATACTAAACCGGGCTCTATTGTCTTGTGTAGTAGCGGAGATCAAAAAGAGGTTTGTTCCCGTTTTTATAATTTTTTCTTATTGCTCACAGCTAAATCATATTTTTTTTTTAAACTTTCGAACAACACCAAAACCAAAATCTGTTTAGATAAGATTTAGTAAAATAAATTATTATTATTATTATTATTATTATTTTACTGTATATTTAAATGCACAGTAATTATGATAAAAAACACAAACCACTGTGTAAAATTATAGATGATTTTCCTATACATTTTGGATTCTACTTTCTGATATAATTATAATTGATAATTGTTTGATTAAGCACTGATTAATATTTGGCTTAAACTCTCACCTATTTTTTAAGTGCAAAAACCATTACTGAAACCTATTATACAGTATGCAGAGGTGAGTGAAGGAAAAATGATCCCCCTTCCTACTTACTATATTTTACTGTAATTAAAGATGCCCTTATAATTACCAAATTGGATTGCAAATCTACTTCGTCTGTGCCGAACCCCTTTTTGAAATCTTTGATTTATCGCAGAAATTGATTTCTATTTTCTTTCTTGTCTAGGTTTTCTCGGTTACAAACCTATCAGATAATGCCAAGCAATTCTTTACTAACCTTGCTACCAACTATATTGACGCATCAAGTAATAATAAGCGAATTGATTTTATAGCATGCAATGCATTACAACCGTCAGACATTACTGTCCTTACTTCTGAAATTGAGAAACTTGTTGGGGTAAGCATGTTTTTTGTGTCTATGCCCGCCCTCCCCTTTAGGGTCATTGACGCTATGTTATCGTCTGGCAGTTAACTCTGTTTGAGTGGTAAATGTCAAGTATGTAAATCCGATGAAGGTGCATGATGGGTGCTATATCTTAAGTAGGCCTACAGTACCTTATTACTGTACCAGTCATTTAAAAAGCAACACTGCACATTTCCTGATAACCGAATCCCATGTGGATACTTTATTAAACATAGTGCAGTAATTCAGTACAGTATAAGGCATTGACACATGCTCCCATTGGGAGCCTATTTTTGTGTCTACTGCCCCCACAGTGTGCAGTAGACACTAGGTTGTCGCGTAACAGTTGACCTTTCTAATTCTAGTGGAGGTCATGTGTAGGTGGATATCATGTGGTTAGTAACATGAACAGTTGTCCTGGTAACAGGATAATGATATCACTGTCCCTGAATGTATCTATTAACAGGAAATACCTTGGTGTACTTTAAAGTGTATACAATGAATAGGCAATTATACATGAGAGTATAATATCAACACCCCACTTATACTCTCATGATGTTCAACCATTAAATCATTAATCATTTTCCACATCATCGTTTCTATAGAATTAGGCAGTAGACACACACTTACCGCTGGGAGCCTATTTTTTATTTATTATCAAGTAATGCAAAGCCTTGTTCAGGCTATCAAATTTTATTTGATAAAAAAAAAACTGTTGTATGCTCATATATAGTCATGATATGCCTATATATGGTCATGATGTGCCTATATATGGTCATGATGTGCCTATATATGGTCATGATGTGATGATATCATGACCATACTTAGGCAGCAGAGTAATGATGGGGCTGGGGGCCCCGTGGTTTTTTTTAAACTGGGAGACCCCTTTTGGGTCTTGGTTTCTAATCCCGTTGTGATATTTTAAATGTGCTCATTTTTTAATCATGTTTGACATTGTTTTCTGAATGTTTCTGACGACAAAATAAATGATATGATATCGGTGGCAGATCCAGGAACTTGAAATAGAGGGGGATGTGGGTTCTGTTTTTAAATTTTTTTGTTAAATGAACTTTGAGAGTCTGGACAGGACTTTATTCTCAGTATGCCATTGATTTGAGCATATGCCCAGCACTAGAGTTTGGTATTCATGAACAGGGCTGGAAAAATTGTATGACCTTTATATACTATTAAAGATCTTTTTAATTCCTTAAAATGCTTTTCACTTACATATAGTTTAAGAACACCATAAACTTCCCTAATATTGTCAACCATGAAGCACCCATCAATTATTAATATATTATATTTAATTTTTATCATAGATGCCAGTTGGCATTTCACGTGAAATACATGGAAATGATATATCTGTAAAAGCAGGGAAGGAAACTGTATCAAGGTAAGCAAACTGCTACTATTTAGACTTTATAGATTGGGCATTTTTATATTTATTGTTCCTATTTTTTCCATAGAAGAAAGCTTAAAGAAGAAATTTTCTCTCATAATTTTACTTTTCCTTTATGCAGAAACGTTGGTGAGTTTTATTTCAAAACTGATAAACTGAAGAATTGGAATTCACAACCACAAACGCTAGCTGGCTTTGAGAAGATCAGAACTGTTGGAAAAGGTTTGCAAATTTAAATTAAACATCAGTGAAATATTATTAATCAAGTATGGGTAATATATTAAAATTAAAGTAAATAAAAATATTTTGAAAGTAAAATGATAAATATCATTTAATTGCATTTATTCTAATCAATTGAATAATAATGTAATCTTGCATATTAATATTACATATTAATGTAGTTTCTATTATGTTTTTTTGTTTTTTTTCAGGAGCCTATGGAGCTGCAGTACTTTACCGGAAAAAAGATGATGACTCCCTAGTAATCTTAAAAGAAATAAACATGCATGATTTAACAGCAGCAGAGAGACAAATGGCACTGAATGAGGTGAGAACATAACAAATTTTTAAAGTTATATTATGTCACTGGGCGTGTTTCTGCTGAGCAAAAAAACGTGTTTTTAAACGGTTATTAAAAAGCATGTGTTTTTTCCCCAGTAGAAATGGGTCACAAAACAAAAACATGGTTCGGAATGTGTTCTAAAAATGCGTGTTTTTACACGCATTCGTTATAGGGTTCACTTTCAGAAAACACGTGTTTTGTGGTACACTTTTCAGCTGCAACGCAATACCGTGTTAGTCATGACCCGTCAGTGACCCAAGTTGACCTCTTCATTGGTTTGATCGCTGGTCTGCAGGAAATTCGGGGGGAAAAAAAAAATTGAATCAATAGTATGACATGCTTGAAGATCATACCATACTTTTTTAATACTTTCGTGGTGTGTTGTTTACTTCTTTCGCAGCAGGCGCTGTAGCTCGCAAAAGTAAGGTCAGCTTCAACTTCATTGGTGACCATCATTTAAGCTCCGTGCCCACCTGCCAATGCTCGCGCATTACCATGTTTTTATTAGTTGCACTTTTCAGTAGAAACGTGTTCAGAAGGAATTTAACCGTTTATAAAAAAACATGTGATTTTGGCGTTATTCAGCAGAAACACGCCCACTGTGTAGAGGGAGTGTAAACAAATTTAAGGAGTAGCATTGCATATTTTCCCTTCACCCTTTCCCCTTGCACCGTCTCAGAAATTGCTTAGCAAAATTATGCTGTAGTTAAGAATTTCTTTATTTCAGCTTTTTTGCCAGTACAAGTCATTTGACTAAATCATCGAGCCCTCCCACTCAAGCCTTGAGCTGCCCACCCCTCCCCTGTCAATCTGTACACCTATATGCCACTGTCAGTGGTCATGTATTTAGAAAGTGCCTTCCACAGAAAAACCTGTCTAAAGGCACTTCAAAGCCACAAGAAACAAAAACAAACTGTACTAACTTGAAAATTCAAATATATATATAAATGAATTGCTCACATATTCTGTTAAAGTTATTAAATTAAATAATAACATTGACACAGAGAGGATTTTTCTTTTTGGTTTGAGTGTAAGAAATTCCTTTTGTTTTTTCTGTAATATTATTTTGAAAGGTTCGAGTGCTGAGCATGCTTGATCACCCTAATATCATCAGTTACTATGACTCATTTGAAGAGGATGGCACGCTGATGATAGAAATGGAGTATGCTGATGGCGGGTGAGTAAAATACATGAGGCTGGCCATCCCAAACCCAGTGTACTTTCACAAATTGTAAAACGGAGTAATTAGCATATTAGAATGTGACAGCATTGTATACTTTCGCACAGAGAAGCCGTAATACTTTTACTCAACTTTTGCAATCATTTTTTTCGAACCAACAAGGTGCATATTGCAAACTCTTTTTGATTCTTTTAAGTTTTAATTATTTATCTCATTAAAATAAATCATGAATATAATATACTCATACTTTGAAATAACTATGCCAATACCAATATAACTTTTTGATGGATGCTATAATGCAGAAAATGTGGTTAATTGAGGATCTTTGGATTAAGTGAGAACCATGGGATTTACTGATAGTCATGGGATTAGCAGAGGGCCAAGCAAGTACATGAGAAAGGTGGATTTACTACTAAATTGAAGGATTGTATGCAATGGATTATAATACAAATAACATAGGCTGTATACTGTACTTAACATTAATGAAAACACATGCTACATAGCTATATATATGCTCAATCTGTTAATCCATCCCCCTATTCATGAGTAACAAGGCCGCTCCCAGAGGGCGATATACAGAATATCACATAGGCCTACATGATAACTACACTACAGGATTAACTGTATATAAAAACTTTTATCATTGATTCTAGCACATTATCCCAGTTCTTAAGCAACCAGCAAGGAAAGCGTGAGCTTGAAGAAAGAGAAATACTACTAATGTACCAACAGATGGTCACAGCTATCAGATACATCCATGATCATAATGTCTTACACAGGTAGGTTTTACCAGATCTAAAGCTGTGTCCAGACAACAATAAACTGTTGTATGTCCATATATAGTCATGATGTGCCTATATATGGTCATGATGTGATGTCATTATAACCATATTTAGGCATGTTATATGTTTTTGTCAAATAAAATATGATGTGCAAAACCTAAACCAATCAGTAACTGCAGAGGATATCCCTACCATTTTTGACGAACATATGCTAATAATACTTACTCATTTTTTTTGATGATCACTGACTGGTATATATTATCAACAGGCACCTCCTATTCAAAAGTGCTTTTTAATGAAATGCTGTAGGTTATTTTGGGAGAAACCATCCTAGATTCAAGAAAAGATTCCAAATATTAATCCTGTAAGCTGCGCAACACCATACTCTCTTCTCTATAGGATGAAACCAATTTTTATTATTACTGTGATTTATCCTTACTGCAGAGATTTAAAAACCGCCAATATTTTTCTAACCAAAGAGGGAATCATCAAGATGGGTGATTTTGGCATTGCAAAGGTAATGTCATCCAATAACCGAGGGGCAAACACTGTTCTTGGAACACCCTACTACATCTCACCAGAAATTGTAAGTCACTTAGAAACATTTTCTGTCTACTGTATTATAATTAATGGTATTGAAGTCATGGTATATAAAGTATCAACTTAGCATTTTATGGAATGGAACAATCTTCCAAGTACTATACACTCTATCTAAAATTAATAATTTTTATGTGTTTTATATTGTCTGTTTTTGTTTGTTTGTTTGATGTTGGATCCTTTTAGAAATAAGCCATATTTTTGGCTTTTTTGTGTTCTCCTAGTCTTATTTCTGGTTTTTTTTTTTAATGTGTTCAGATCTTTCTGAATAAAATAAAATCAAATAAAATTCAGATCATAGATTAAAATAATCTGTAGTCCGAACTTAGAACCATGTTTGTCAGATCACATGCTCTGAATTGGTGTAGGTTTCAAGACACATTCCAGTCTCTACTGAGGAAGGTTGTAGTGTACAGTCGAAAATGTTATGGTAAGAAAGATTTTGTATTTAGATCAAAAGTCAAACCCTGTTACAAATTATAAATCAATATTGTTGATCATTGTTTTTGCACAGTGTGAAGGAAAGCCATACAATGATAAATCGGACATTTGGGCTCTAGGCTGTATTTTGTATGAAATGGCCTGTCTACAGAAAACATTTGAAGGGACAAACCTACCAGCTCTTGTCAATAAGATAATGAAGGTATTGCTTTAAAATCATTTTTATTTATACGTAAATTTCTTTTATGTAGCTTCCATTTCTTATAATATACAGAATTAGATATTTGGGTATTTGAAGAGCGAATTACTGTGCTTGGAAATATCCATTTATATATAATTGGGGCGCTGCCATCCCAAAACCAGCATCAATGGCCAAAAAATTAAATTGACATCATTTTATTCACAATTTCCACATTATAAGCTTTAAAATGATGGGTAACTGGAATCGATTTGCTATTGCCAAAGTTATGAGTGAGATTAGTATGGCTTCTCCGTACTAAAGTATACACTGCTGCCACATTGTTATGCTAATTATACTCAATTTAGCATACATTGACAATATGCTGGTTTTGGAATGGCATGCCTCAGTTGGTCAGTTTCTGAGAAAATGTTCTCAGAAACAAATACTTGTATAGTATTTTTTCATATTTTTTGTATTGTATTTTTAAGGCATCCTGTAATTGGCTTTACTGTAGCTGTTAAATGATGTTTGAAATAAATAAAAATATTAAATAAAATGTTTGTTCTTATCTGCTTGTACTCTAGGGTCACTTCACTCCAGTAAAAGGGAATTATAGCCAAGAATTCAAGACCCTAATACAGGATATGCTGCAACGGGAACCAGAGTACAGACCATCTGCCAATGAACTTATGTTGGCACGCCTACCGATCCTGCTAAGCCAGTTTGAAGATCCTGTGTCAGAGTTCGAGGACGATTTGATGGCATCTACAGACAGCTTCAACACAGGCCCAAGGCCTAAGACACGGTACAGATTTGTTTTCTTCTCCTTAAGCTCTGTCCAAACTATCAAATTGTCTGACAAAAAAAACTGTTGATGCCCATATATGGTCATGATGTGCCTATATGGTCACATCATGACCGTATTTAGGCATGTCACATGTTTTGTCAAATAAAATTTGATAATTCCGGCTGAGCTTTAAAAATGCATGTATTTTTAAAGGGTTATTTGTTTTGGGTTGAATTCTTTGGATATTTTTGCATCACAGGATTTCTCAGGAATTGGCATTGCAAGAGCAGAAAGTTTGGAAACACCCACTTACATTTGATGGTCACCGTAGACATGGCAAAAATCAGGGTTAGCCATGGATTGTCTTAAGTCAGTGATTCCCAACCTTTTTGCATTCTTGGAGCCCTTGGGACATGTTAATAGTCTTCCCTAACCCCAAGTCCAAGTTTACTTATTGTCAATATTCCAAAAATAGGTTGATAAGATTATAAATAAAAGATAATTTGCCAATGTAAGATGTTTATCACACTGTTGTAAAAAACATTTTTGACAGACCCGCAGTGGACACTTTTGACCTGGTAGACCCCAATTATATTTTTCATGGACCCCAGGTTGGAAACCATTGGTTTAAGTGACATTTATACTGCAGTGTGTGAGTTTACAACAACAAAAATAGTTGTCTATTACTGTTTTATAAAAGTGTTTCTCATTATTTCTCTTTTTAAAATGTTCACAATACAGTATATATTATTATACATATTTTTGCAGGTCTGTTTTGTATCATTTTGACATACCTACTCTTAGTATGTACCCTGTTGATCTTCCATCCAGAATTAAAATTAAGCAGGTGAGAATTTTTCTTTACGCCACTTCTGAAAACTTGATGCGTCGTGCTTGCCGGTCATTTGCAAGATGAACTCATGTAATAGTAAACACTGTTTGAGAACTTTCTTATTTTCTAAACTTGTCCCAACTGGTTTCAAGAGATGTAACTGATTTAGAAATGAACTGTGTTTCATTGGCACAGATATTCACAGATGATATTAATGCTTCACTCATGTTCTAATGTATTTAAAAAATATTATATTGCTTTGCATTTATATTTTTTATGTAATGTCATGTGATTTTTTTTTAAGTGAATTTTTTTTTTTTTTTTACTTTATGGGTATCCTAGTTTCATATGTTTTAGAGTTCAATGTTTTTTGTAATTTTATCTGTATTGCAAACCGAATAAAATATAATTAGATCTCTAGGGTTGTCTTTGTAAGCAAATGTTCATATTTTCATACTCTTTGAAATAGTGTTGCTGTAATGTAATTCCCATTATATCCTGAATAATAATAAAATTTAAATCATATAAGTTTTCATTTATTGCATTCAAGTTTTTCTCCAATGCTTAATATCTTTTTTTGGTAGGTTGCAATCTGTTCCACTCACATGATTGTCGTCACTTATGAAAGGTCGGTGTTCTCATGGGGTGAAGGGTTAAAAGGTCAGCTAGGTCATGGAGATTTGAAATCTCGACAGTCTCCTGAGGTCATTGAAGCACTCAAAGGGAAATCTATTACAAAGTAAGTATTCGCAATTGATACATCATTTTTTACTTTTAAGCTTTTTGAAAAATAAGTTTGGATGCTGTGAAAATGTGCCTAGCCCAAGCTGTATAACCAGCAAGTAACTAAATTTATCTACACACTTAAATATCTTCACTTCTTCTATTAACACCATTACCATAGCTCAAATAATACGCAATCCTCTTTTAAAACTACTGGCTGATAATTGTAATTTTAACTTCAAGAATTCTTATGATTACAATAAAGCACCTATGTTGCGGAAATCTATAAAGGAAACAGACTTTTTTTATGTCAGTAACAGGTATTCCAGTAAATATGTCTTCAAATTTCCGTGGTTCAAGCCTTTCATTTGAAGACAATTTTCTCAAGGTTGTTTCTCTTTACAGAGCATGCTGTGGTGATGGCTTCAGCGTATTCGCCAGTGACAATGGTATTGTGATGACATGTGGAGATGGCAGCAAAGGATGCCTAGGTCACGGCGACTGGAGCAATGCATCCCGCCCCCGCCTCATTGAAACCCTCCTAAGCGTTGATGTAACATCCATAGACTGTGGACCTCATCACGTTGTGGCTGTGGGTGCTGATGGGGAAGTATTCTCTTGGGGTGTTGGGAAGGATGGTAGGCTAGGCCTTGGAGATGAAGAGAACCACTGTGAACCGCAAGCAGTTGACCTATCTGCAGAGTCTGTGTACATTCGGATGGTTAAATGCGGTAGAGATGGTACCATGTTCTTGTCTGACATGGGGTCACTGTTGGCTTGTGGTAATAATGAGTTTAATAAGCTGGGACTAAACAACAGACAGGGCTTCCTTATGGCTATGAAGAACATTTTTACTAAGGTAACCACAGCTTTATATAAAATGTAGAAATATTTGGTGTCAACAAGTTTTTTTATTTGTCATGTACACACATACAAAACAATTACATTTTCTAAAGTTCATAATCCAGATTATTTTTGTCTCATGTTCAGACTGAAGTTGATTGTCGTAAGGTGCCGACAGTCATCAAGCCGTTGTCCACTTTCCGTGTATTGGACATGATGCTAGGTCAGCACCACAGTGCTGTCATTATCGATTCTGGCATTGTGTACACCTTCGGGAAAAACAGTGATGGTCAACTTGGCACTGGAGATGTGAAATCACGAACAGCTCCAGCGCAGGTTCGACAAATGGCGGACAAATCTGTAAAGGTGAGATTTTGCAAGTACCGTGAATTGTTCGCCTAAGGGCCCCACCCCCCACTCCTTGATAATATCAATATATGTTGTTCTGGCATCTGTTTAAATTCTAAAAATCTGTTAATGAAAAATATGCACCCAACAGCAAGCGCAGAACTCGCCAATTATAAGATGGAACTATTATTTATAAACTAAGTCCTATGTTGAAGATTAGGGTAGAAAAGTTTTAGAAATTTACTCTTGTGTTCCAGGATTTGAACCCAGTTCCCTCAGATATTGGAAGGCAAGCATACTATCCAATAAACTAACACCTCTAAATTTTTCAATTCGATGTAAACAATTTAAATTGAATTGAATTGAATTTATTCGATGCTCATATATAAAATATAAAATATAGAAATACAATATGGGAATTTTACAATCATCAAAACACAACGAGCATCTGGAACATTCATTAGGCCAGGAATCCAGCCCATTTTCAATGGGATCCAAATTGCAAAATTAAAAATCATGAAAGTTACAAAATACATATTAAAAAGGAAAAGAAAAAAAGCAGCATTTATTGTATTGTTTAACGTACAGGTGTGCAAACTGCAGCCTGAGGGAGATTTTGTTGCGGCCCACAAAAAATAAATTAAAACCTTATGTGTGCGTCGCACCAGCCATCTTAGGCTAGAAACCACCTTGGTTTTTGTGTCCCAACACCGACCATCTGTAAAAAGTATTATTACAACTGAGCATAAAGTGGTATAAAAGCAGTCCATGAAGGTTTTTTGGAAGGACATTGGAAACAAGTTTGGGTGCAGTCCTCAGTGTTCAATCAAAATTTAATTTGGCCCTTTAACCCATTTTGTGCCCACCTCTGGTTTAACCTCCTCATATGTATTACGGTATATATTTAATAGACTTTATAGGCCCTACACTTTTATAATTAGATCTTGATTGTATTTAAACATTTTTTTCTCAGATGATAACTTGTAGTGAGCATTTTACCGTGGCAGGCACGGATGACAATCACCTTTACATGTGGGGAAGAGGGTTCAAGATCTCACCCCCTCCGAGTGATGAGGGTACAAAGAGCAGCAACGATATCTCGATGGTTACCCCTATAGGGGAGAAGCCCCCAGTGCGGAGTCCTAGTGTCGAGTCGCTGACTTCCATGTGCAGTAACCTTGAAAAGAAAGATGATCATTCTTACTCAGAAAGCAAAGGTCAGTCTTTATTAACATCCAGATTGGGGAAATTATGATTCATTACATTTTATTATTATTATAATTATTATTATTATACATATTATATGCCATTATGTCATTATTTATATATCTTCATTATTTATTATGATTATTTCAAATTCAAGACAGTCGGACGTATTGCCATTCTATTCTCTTTGATCATACCTTAAGATCGCAACATCTTGACACACATTTCATTGAAACTTCCCCCTTTTAAAGATATATTGTCTCTATTCAGCCCATAAAAAATACAATGACCATAAGAAATGGTAAGACCAGTCATGGAAAAAAATAAATCAAAATTGAGTTTTTGGTATTTTTTTTATTCTGCATGACCACTTCTTTCTTTAAAATAGTGTTTATTTGATGGAAGTTGGTTGAGTATTAGCAAAGTTATAAATATTTAATTCATTGGATATCAGCCATTTTGAGAAAGCAGCTTCCAAATATTCCAAAATTAATTGATTATTAAGATTTATTTTAAGATAATTTTAATGTACTTTTCAGGTTAGATTTAGTAAAAAATTCAAAAACCTGAAAATGCTCAAAATTCTGATTCTCGAATGTTTTGGGTGCTTATGGGAAATTAGAAATTACAACAAATGTCGTTTTTTGCCACCAGAGCCAGACACATGCCATTTGGATTTCTTTTATGTGTACTTTTATTGCCCGGCATTCGACCTTAAGGATTTAAAAAGCTATACATTGAATTCTTTAAAATTGTATTGAGAGCAACTTTATGTGAACATTTCTGTTCTAATCAAATGTTTTAGGGTTTAGGTTTTACAAGATTTTATTTAAGACTTGACAGTATATCTTTAAGATGTTTTTTAATCCCCCACTTTATTGTGATGATACTTTCCTTTGTAACATAGATTCTGGCAATTTTAGTGCACCTGATTGTATATCCTCACAAAGACAAGGTAAGTATGCATACCAAATACACAAGCTCTCGTAATCTCGAAAGCGAGGGCAGTATAGTAAAGGTAGTAAAGCTAAAAAAGTTTTATTAATCAAAACTATTAGTCAATCAGCTGAGTGTTTCTAAAGCTCTTCATGAGGGCAGTATAATGAAGGCAGTAGAGCTAAAAAAGATCTATTAATCAACTATTAATCAATCAGCCTCATGAGGGCAGTATAATAGAGGCAGTAGAGCTAAAATAGATCTATTAATCAATCAACTATTAATCAATCAGCCTCATGAGGGCAGTATAATAGAGGCAGTAGAGATAAAATAGATCTATTAATCAATCAACTATTAATCAATCAGCCTCATGAGGGCAGTATAATAGAGGTAGTAGAGCTAAAAAAGATCTATTAGTCTATCAGCCGAGTGTTTCAAGAGCTCCTCACCAGAGCTAACAATATTAAATCCAGTATTATGCTGCTCTGAATACTCTCTAAATACTCTTCAATTAAAATTTTAAAGTTTTTTTGTTTATTAATTTTTATTATTTTAATTACTAATAATTCAGTTCAGTAATTATTCCTAATTTGTATTAATGATTATTAGTTGATATTAATTAGTTAGTAAAAATTGTTTTCAATTATTATTGCTTATTATTATTTTTGTATTTAGATATTACTAAAATTTTTATTTAATTCATTTAAATAGTAATATTAAAATGAATTATAGAATTATATATTAATGAATTACATTCAATAATAAGTGCATTCTCTTAAATATACTTGGAGGTGAAAACTCGTTACTTGAATCAGTGGCACATCCAGGGGCAGGGGAAAGGAAAAAGTCCAAATGTTTTGCCTAACAGAATTGAAAATATGTTTCAGTAAAATATTTTATGTGGTTCTTACCTCATGTATTCATCTTGTATCCTTTGTTTTAAAATCCTAAAATTTATTCATTCATTCATTCATTTATCCTTATCATTTTCATTCATAAATTTTATTTTCTTTTGTTTTTTATTTTCCTCCCACTATCTTTATCACATTCCTTTCATTCACCTGTCATTATAGACAAAATAGACATGATGGCATATTATATATGGAATGGTATGTTACAGCTTGAGAATAGGTGTTTTTTTTATTTTAAACATCCTTCTCATATAGTTGTTTAGTTGTGTGTGTGATAAGCTAAGGTGATGCTTGTATTGAATATGTATGCATACCTAAGAAGGTAGTTGAGTAGTGAATTGTTTATGACACTGTATTTTACGTTCTTTTGTAATCACTTTTCGCTATTTAAAATAGCAAAAATCTCTGGGGACAATTTTGGTGCTATAAATTTTGAATATTGTTGTAGTAAAGCTTGAATATTTACACAAGCAAATTATCAAAGAGTAAAATAGTCCCAAGATTCTTTCAGATTTTTATAGTTGTAAAAATACTTACTACCCTAATGTGGCAAAGAATGAATTTCCATACATCTTGGAATAATAATGGGAGAGGGGAGGTGGAGGGACCCTTAAGAAAGAGGAGTTTTCAGTTAAAAATGTTCAAGCCTGCAAATGGTCTTAACTTGGTACCTCTGGTATTAATTAAACTAAAATTTCTTGTGCGAGTTGTGTCCACACTGTGATAAACAGGGCAATTAGCTCCATCAGCATTCTCTCCTAGGTCAGTTAACTTATATGACTTTGCAAGCAAAAGTACTAGTTCTTATTATAAACATTTTTTTAGCATTAAATTTAGTATTTTTTTGTCTTCTAATTCTTTAATCCTACTCCTTTATATTCTAATACTTGTTGTATTTAGTTTATTAGTTACAATTAACAGTGCTTTTATATTTAATTTTTTGTCTAAATTTTGTACGTTTTTGTAGTTAGTGTTATTGTTACATGCGTTAAAGGAAAGATACAAGTAAAGTTGACGGACCTTGAGATTAATGATCTGAACAGCAATTGTTTTGCGAATAATATGTCAAGATGATTTGTATTTAAATATACTTGCTTTTGTAAAGTTTTAAAGCTAGTATTACCATTCTACTACAAACTACAACATGATGGCCTATTGCTATATTATTTTAAATCTATGTTGCTTATCTTTGTTTAATTCTTTCTTTACAGCCCATGATTCCTTTTGTTTTTTTCTTAACACTAACCCATTTCTAACATTTCTAGATTACTAGATTTGATACTCAATAGGAAAACTGACCCTCTCAATAACATTTCCTATTTTCTCTAATTTCTGTTATCTAAAACATACAGCCATCAAGTTACTTTATTTCTGAACATCAACCTAAATACACAGACATTTGCCAATTCAGAAAAAGAATGTCTAAAAGCATACATATATTTTCAAAACATGAATTCTGAAGAGAATAATGGAAAGACTAAGTACCTCTCAGAGCAGGACCATAATCATTATACTGATTTTTTTTTCATTCTGTAGCAATGATGGTTGTTATTACTATATATCTTTTTTTTTTAAAATTAATTCATAGATTAGAACCTCTGTATTCCTACCATTTTATTACCTTACTCTGACGTTATGAGGTATAAGTGTTTTGCTAATACAGGTCTGTCTAAAGATCATCAATTAAAGACCAATGTAGTCCCATATTAACAATATGTCTTTTATCTTTATTATTTTAATTGGAGGTACAGTATACCAGTATCTCTTCCCTCCATTTGCTTGGTGCGTATATTGACCAATATGCATTATTTTATAGGTGCAAAAAGCGCCCCTGTAAATCGCCAAAGGCTTTTGAGTGGAGATAATATATTTGTTGACAAAGATCAGCTTCCAGCTACAGAGCAGAGACCACCAGGTATGTTGGTTCTTATGTTTACCTGTTTTTCTTTCTTTAACATTATGTTCTTAAGAATTACCAAATGATCTACTGTAGTACTAAGCACATTCATATATTAAATTTTAAATTATTAGGTGTTGAAAAGAGATTTTAAATTGATTTTATCAGGGGTTTATCCCTGTTTAAGCCGTTTGTGTGGTGTGGTGTGCATTATGGCCCAGTACACATTTTGGAAAAGAGTAGGGGATTGTCTCCGGTTGTACAGCCCAAACACCGCCAGAAGAACCCTACTGAAAATATGTATTCCTCAGAGTTTCGTGGGTTATCCTTGGTATTTACACTGAATAAATTCTTCCATCCATCATATACCCAAAACCTTTAAAGTTCATTAAATTTACAAAGTAAACAATATAATCGTGTAGTATAGAATAAGGCATTTAGCAAAACACAGGCTGTTCACTGTTGTATCTACCCCTACCTCGTTTATGAGATTTATGGTGGTTCCATTCATATACAAACACAGCTCACAATAGCTAATTATGTAAAATGATTTGAAATAATTACAACTTATGATTTAATTTCTGCTGCAATGCAAGCTCCTGTCGTATGGCCAATGGATTCTCCACGAGATAGGTTACGAAAGGGTAAGAATTTGATCACTACTCTCAGTGTGTGTTTGATGGCCACTGTATGATTAATCACAGTGTTTCATTTAAGGGGTATATAGTATAATATGCTGGTGCTTTTGGGTACGGTAAATTCTGTCTCTTGTTATTGTCTTTGCACTCTATAAATGAAAAAAAAAAAGGTTTTGTTGCACAGCTGCTTAAAGCTTATCAGTTATTAGTAAATTTTTTTACTAATAAAAATATCACATGTCACATTCCAAAGTAGATTGGATCATTTTGTAATTACCTTTTTTACACTGCCAGCACTACTTACAGTATACGCCATGGGTATTTTTCACAACTGTACTATTAAAAATAAATAAATAAATAAACAAAGAAGGGAAGAGAGATCTTCCAATAACAAATATCTGCCCGACTGTAAAGCTAATACATGCTGTGATACATATGTATACAAGGTAAGTTACATTTCATGTGCTATAGTGTGTGTGTGTTTTAACCATAAATTATAAATGATAACTGGGCTTTGATTTAGCTATAGGTAGCTTTTTTACTTGCATATTAGTTATTGATTTTATAAGGTACATATGTTTGATTATCTGTCTATTGATTATATGTATTTATTAGTATATGTTTAGTTACATGCACTTCCACGCAAAAAAAATCTTGTTCCCCACTTTTAAAAATGTGCTAAACAAAAAAGTCATGGTCAATTAGTTAAAAATCACCTCATATCGCCTTGATTTGTGACCTAGCACCCCCTTAAGGTAGATTTACACCGAATCTGAATTCGGTTCGTAGAACGTTTTCGATGCGCATCTTAGTACGTGCCTCTATTCTTTACCGCTGATTCAATATTCTTTTTTCGTTTTGTTAGCCATACCAACCGAATTCGGCTTCGGTGTGATTGCAGCTTAAATCAATGAGCCTTACACTTTAGCTTCCCCCATTACCGTGGCCCCCCCCCCCCCCCCATTCGAGACTAGATATACCACTGCCAACTAAGTTTGTTTACTGAATCAGGGAGTGGAATTATTAGAAAACTCTTAAGTCCTAAGAAACCACTTTTAGAAGATCTGGTTAGTTAAATGAGCTTTCTTAACACTACTTTCTTATTGTATCTTGCTGTGCATAGTGGTACCGTTGACTAGGTAGACAATAATACAATACAGTAGAACCCCTATTAAAATGTCCCCTTAATAGTGGTGTCACCTGTTCAGGGGACACTAAACAAATACATGAAATTGTCCTCTTAATAGGGGTTTTGGCATGTTTTTGTATAATGATGACATAGCTTCTTTATAATTTTATTTTATTGACCTGTAAGAATGACATACTGTACAGTTTTATTGTAATAATTTATAACAATAATTTGCAATGCAAAAAATAATTCATTTAAGATATGAAATTAACAGATATGTAAGTAAAATTTTGAGCTTTTTATTGGGTTCACAAGAATGCTATTAATAGATTTTAGCAACTACAGATCAGGGTGCAGGCTGTCCAGATAGATTAGAATCATATATAAAAATACATAAAACAAGAACTCTCCATGGTTAATGGTCAAAATTGACATGTTTTTATTTATACGAAGTAACACATACACTAGGCATGCAATTGCCATTATAAGGATGGAAAAATTCTGGTTTGGAGCCTGCATTTGCACAAGATGGGTTAGTTTCTTGGAAGTTTTTGCTTGCTTGCGGTAAGGCAGGAAACTATACTTGCTTTCAGAAAATTATCCATGACTTGCAGGAGACTTAAAAGGCTTGTGACTTTTTGTATATCGATTACTAACAAGTGATTCGTTTTAATATCATTGCTAAATAAGTAAATTTTATCTCCAGGGAGCTCTGTGAGCAGGAAAACGGTAACCAGCGTTGGTAGTAGCACAAGCGACGATAAACAAAGCGATTCTAAAGTGATCTTGCAGCCAACGCCAATTCTAATGTAAGCTCCACTTAGTCTTAACTTTTCTTTGTTGTACACATTTTTGTGTGTGTAAAGTAATTTTTTTTAAACCAACAACAGACTATAAGGAATTTTCTGTATAATAATATATATTATATGTTTAGTCTGGTTTCCATTAAAGCACTACACTGTCGCTACATCGTGTTCACTGCAATCACTGCTCTGCGTGGAAGACACCATGATTCGACTGACCAATCAGTATTAATACATTTTTGTATTTTTTCATTTCAATGATATTTTCCCAGTTTTTTTTTTTTCTATTTTGGGGTTTTTTTTAATGTTTTTAATTATTTGAAACTTTAAGTTATATGAAATAATATAATATAGTTGGTGTAATTTTTCATGTGTTGTCATTTCTACAGGTTTGATTCTACTGGTTCCCAAAGTGCTGAGACTGGCGAGTGTTTTCAAGTGGTTCTCAACAACGTGTTGGGTCATGGTGACTGTTTACTACTCCAAGTAGAAACAACTGCTCCACCTCCGCCGCCACGAAGACGTTCTCGAAAGAAGAAAAAGAGCATGACACGCCGTTCGTAAGTCTACTTATCGGAGATAATACTAATAATAAATGTGTTAACCAATTTCCATACTGAGATATTTAGCAAAAAACCATAAGTTGTTATTTTAAATGTGAAGGTAGGAGTGGTAAAGGTAGGAGAATAACAAATAACTCGTAGTGTCATTGTGCTGAATTGCTTTGTTTGTGACCACTGAGTTGCCGTAAAGAGGCGTTTATAGTAGCTTTACGTCAACATCATATCACGACACGGGCTGAAATGAACCATAGCATTAGGGTTACTCCCTACTCTTCCGAAAGATGCAACGGGTTCTTTAAAGAGAACACGAGCCAGATATGTACACTGGACCACTATTTTAAGTCTTTATCTGAAAAGACTTAATTCTACCAACTGAACCCCGAGTGAGGAGCAGCTTGAACCAGCTCCCTTCTTAAGGCAGTAGTTAGTGACGCCCCTGCCTTACTGCTCAGCCACTTGGCTTGTCAATTAAATGACTGATAGATAATTAAAACCGCTGAGAATCTGATATGCTATGTCACTATTGATGTTTCTTTCTCCAGAATGTGTCACTTAACTATTAATTCTCTGTAAGAATCTATTTCATTATAATTATTTTTATTATCTTCTTCCTTAACAATATTGTTGCTTTATTATTATTTTTATTATTATCTTCCTCAACAATATCTGTATTCATATGTGTGTATTGGAACAGGAGTGGACAAAATCTTTTGGAACCAGGTAAAGACAGTACTCAGTCAGAGGGTGGAAGTAAGTCTTTTACAACGGCTGACGATTACACTAGCTCTGAAACATCAGAAGCAGACACATTAGGAACGGTTAGTCAACTTTGCGTCATTTTTATTTTTTTAAAATTATTATTTATTTTATTTTTCTATATAAATCTTGGGACATTTAACATAAATATATGAAATTATTATGGGCTGTTGAGGATAGGCTAAAGTATAAAATTCTAATCCAAATAAAAATAGCCCCCACAAACTTTTAAAATAGATACAATTACAATACAACAACATTTACAATATAGCCTATAAACAGACAAAAGATTTATTGCATAGCTATGTAATGAAATAATGGGTAATTAGTTTGTCGATAACGAAGTTGATAACAAATTGTTAAAAGTATTTGAGATGTTTAACACTCTGACTGCCAGGGGTTTGAAAAAATAGTATCAGCCACCACCAGACATTTTAGCGAATTTTAACACTTTTCCGAAGCTCGTATAGAGTGTGTATGTGATCAGATTGACATGTAGTGAATACTACAAGAACTACAAACATTTTAGCTTTACAGTGGTACCAAGCACTTTATTCTAATCACAATCTGTGACCCGTAACAGTAAAATGGAAATGACTCACTTTTGGAGATTTACGCGATGCTGAGATAATCGGGATTTGTGAAAGTGCATCAATACCACTACGCTCAATGTAAACAAACAAATGGTGAAATACTTACGGTCCAGACTGAATATAGTGTTCAAATAAAAAAAAAATGTTGGTAATTACCCAATCTATCGGATTCCATAAAAAAACCTGAAACATGGAGATCTCTGTGTTTGGTGGTCAAGGGTTGCGTTACCAAACACGGAGATCTCAGTATTTGGCGGGCAGAGTGTTAAAAGTATTGTTTTAGGCCATTAACAAATAACAAACATGGCCTTTATTCAAGTGAATTAAAAATTGCAGGTTATTTTTACACCTACTTTTAATTGGTCTGTTACATCTTTAAAATGCCTTATTGCCCAATGACTAAATAGTGTGAGATATTTACCTTTGACCTCAAGCTTGAGAACACAAAACATAACCACTAAGCAGTTGCCTAATATAAGTGGTGGCTAATTTGTTGTAGGAAAACAACAAAGCCTTGTCCAGCATATCAAAGTTTATTTGACAAAAACATGTGACTTGCCTAAATATGGCCATGATGACATCACATCATGACCATATATAGGCGCATCATGACTATATATGGGCATACAACAGTTTTTCTGTCAAAGAAAATTCGACAGACCTTAGCAGTGGACAGACCTTAACAGTGCTCGACTTTAATAATTTAGATTCCAACATGGTTGAAGAAAGAAATGAGAGACTCATTACCGATCACTGACGATAATGATGCGGATGATAGTGATGATGAGACTGGAACCAACAACTTGCCTGATGCCAGTATGGCAAACATAAAGATCAATAAAGACATAGCAGCACTCAAAGGTTTGTAAAAATTGCTGTCTATTTTGTGTCCTGGATAAACTGACTAATGCCATTTGCCACTTTGAATAAACTTCCCCACAAAGAAAGTGTCCATTACGGGACACCCCCCCCCTACCCCTTTTTTTGAGTGCTAAGTACACGTTGACCATCCTTTTTATTAATTGTCGACAGCCTACTTTTTTCCACCCAACAAACTATGTTTTTCATATTGTATACTAACAATTTTTGTTGTACCATCTTTAAGTAGCACAATATATCCATTATTTTTTAATTATTCGAAAACTTTAAGTTACATTTCTGAAATGCTGATGTACTTTCCAGATTAATTCTCATAAAAGTGATATTTTACCCTACATTGCCAAATACTTGTGAAAAAGATCTTGCAAGTGATTTGGATTTGAATCAAACCCACAAACTCCAGTTAGCAACTGGTAGTGCAATGCTATTTCGATGTTGTTTTTGGCGTCATTTATTAGGAATGATTTTTTGCCCTACCTGACGTGTTATCGTACCGAATACTCAACACACTTCCAATACTCGCAGTTAGAAACATATTCAGTACAATAAGACGTAAGGTAGGAAAAATATCTCTCTTATTAAATTTCCTGATGCAAAAAACAACATAAATTCATTCTTGCAATTGTTATTTGATTAGGCCAAAAAAAAAAAAAAAAAAAAATTGTTTGCCCTCCTTCACCCGCCCCTCACTCACTGAAAAAAATAGTGGTGGAAAAACGAAAAAAATAAAAAAAAGGGTTTTTTTTAGCTTTTTTCTTTACAAATTATGTTATGGTAACTTTGCTCCACTTTCTGCTCAATACATACCAGCTTGTAGCCTAATTACTTGTGGTTTTCTGTTTAACAATATTAATCCTTCTGTTTCTTTTTAAAGCAAATTCATTATTGTAGTACACGTAATATGTTTTCATAATTTTGACTTAACAGTTCTATAACTTTATTTATTTACCTTGCAAAATATAAATGATTTTTCTTTTTAATATTATATTTTATAATCTTTATTATATATATTATTAATCACTTTCGCAATCCATCATTTTTATTATCAATTTATTATTTGTTTACTGTAATAATATAGGCCTACCTGTAATATTGTTTGATCATTTTAAAATCTATCCATAATCATATAATCTAATGTTATACATACAATTATGCTTTATAATCCATATTAATCTGTTATTGATTTCTTTTTCTGTTTGATGTTCTATTTATTGTGCATGCAGACCTTCGTGAATCACCCGACTCCAACCATCTTGATTCTAGTAATGGTAAAGCCCCATTGTGTATACTGCATGTTGCTTCATTTACATGCTAATTAGCATAAAGGTTTGCAAGCCTTGGCCTGAAATTCATAAATTTATTGTCAGATCTACATCAAAAATATGCTTCTCCTAAATAGCTCAATTTCCTAGAATTCTTTACTGAATTTGATGAAATTGAGTTATTTTGACATTACATGATAAAAACTAATAACTATTTTGTACAAGATGCTTCTTAATATAATTGCACTTTTGGTTAAATATGCCCATTTTCACCACACTTATTACAAAAAAAATAATAATATTGCTCACACAGAAATTCATTTTCAGGCCTCTTGGAAATGAATTTACAGTTGGAAATAATTTTCGCTATGGGCAAATGAATATTATATGTTCTTTACACATAGTGTAATAGGTTTAACTGTTTGTTTTTATTAGTCTTGACCTTTGACATACACATGCAAAAGCGACACTATAGGATGGGGTTAACATTTTCAATAGCGATGAGATGCCAAATTATTATAATTGATTGATAATTTTCTAATGTAATAATGTGTCATATAAAAAGGTTAATCATTCCACCACACCTTTTACATGGCACCTGCAGTACTCAAACACTCATTGTAGATGCGTAGAATACTAGCACAAGAAAGGGCGAGTGGGAATGATACACATGTTGGGGACTAATGTCTGTGGGGGATGGTTTGCGAGGGGTCTACAATTCCTTAAGTTGGAGGTCAGGGAGCTATGCCAAAAGAAAGCCTGGAAATTTTATTGATTTTAGTTTCTTATTATTAAGGCAACAAAAATGCTGATAAACTCTAAAAAAAAGGAAAACAGCAAAAGTGATACATAATGCAAGACTTTTTTGTACTTTGTTTAGCAAACCCGCCGCCCACGAGTAATGGTTATTTCAAATAAAAATAACATTTTATGCTTTTCTAATTTTAGGAAAAAAATACAAGTTTTTTTTATTTTTTATTTACACCTGCCATTGCATTGAAATCTCCAAAAATAAGATATTTATATGTGGCAAAGACAAGCCAAACTAGTCACGAGTTGCAAAAATTGATTTTCAGTTATTAATACAGGGTTAAATAGTATAATGAAAGCTAAGTGGCCAAAGAATCATTTAAATCAGACATTTCGTTAAAAAGTTACATAAGTTTGAACATACAGCTGTTTAAAGAACAATATTTAAGAAATCAGCCTTCAAAGTGTATGATTTCAGGCTTTCCTCAGGCAGAAACCATCACCAAATCTTTAAAAATTGTTTTAACATTGAAAATAGGGAAAATAACTGCATTGAATGATATATAGAAAGGTTAGTGTTGTGCAATAAAATAGATTTAAAAAATGTTGACATTCCAGCATGTTTTGGTCATTATCTTTGAAACATGATTCGCAACGAGAGGCTGGTTTGGCTTGTCTGTGCCACATTTTTCTTTCTAATTATATAATTTAATGCATTTAACCATCCCAATACTACACTGTGTACATTCACCAATAGAATTAAATTTTTATTTTATGCTCTGTCTGGATGTTTTTGGCAAAACCATTTACTAAATAAGAAAACAAAATTTTTTCTTTATTTTTTTCCACCCTCCTTTGACAATCTTTAAAAAATAAAGTTCGCTAAACAAGGTATAAGAAGTCTTGTATAAACAAGCCTATAAATGTATCGTCTGACAGCTATAATACCGGTATTCAGTCAAAGCAGTTTTTGGCTTCGGAAAAGCCAGCCTGAATTTATTTCCATTCAGTGTTTGTGTTACACAACAGGCATTGCAAGCACTTCACAAGATAAGACATTCACACATTCACGGCAGGATAGATGACAGCCAGAGCATGGGCTAAAGTAAGAGGTGGGTTGGGGTGGGGTGGAAGGGGCAGGGTTAATATTTTTTTAGTCGAACCATGTCTCTAAAATATTATAACTGCAATATGATTAATCTGATGATGACATATAATAATTTATTTAATAATATATTAATTTATATTTTGCAAATTCCATTAAAAATATGTTAAATGCGCATTACAATAAAACAGACAAGAATACAAATTTACAATATAAAAGAGATAGTTAAAATTATTGGAAGCTAAAATTCTAACTGCATATTGAGAGTCAATCGTATTGCATCACAATAAAAGTTAAACAATAAAATTCAAATTGTAGTTTATTTAAATTTTTGCTATTGTTACCCAGAGATACAGAAGAGCAACATTTTTTTAGAATATTTTTGTCAAAAATATTTATGAAAAATTATAGAAAAATACAATAATTAATTGTTTTCTATATTTTGGTAAGTTGAACAAAGTAAAAGATGCTAATGCTGTTGCTATAATCGTCGCATAAACATAGAATTAAAAAATTAACATCACATAGGCTACCTGAAGGGCTTGCACTTCGTAAAGACACCCACCACGTAAATTTAAACTCCACACCAAATCCGGTGATGATAGTTTTTGTACCGCTTTTGTCACTCCTCAGCCCCTCCCCCCTCTTTCTTTGTTGCTTTTTGTTCTGTTTGTTGTACTTTTGCTATTTGCGCTGAAAGGAATAAAATAAAAAATAAAATAGGTTAAGTACCTGATGTTCAGCACATAGTATTTCATTTCAATTCCTGTATTAAAGGAAATCATGATGAAACCAGGATGTTTCTAGTTTTAATACTAACAAAAACTCCAAGCCCTGTCCACACTATGACATTTTATTTGACAAAAACATGTGACATGCCTAAATATGGTCATGATGACATCACATCATGACCATATATAGACACATCATGTCTATATATGGGCATACAACAGTTTTTTGTCAAAGAAAATTTAATAATCCAGACAGAGCTTAAGCCTCTACTGACATTGATATTAAATATAGAACATATGATCAGTCACTCCTGACAGTGATGTAAATTTACAAAAAATATGTAATAAGGCCATGTAAACAAAAAATGTTGTTGATCGTCCTTTTCTTTTTAAAAAAAGTCGGTAACCAAAAAAGGGGGTTTTTTGGGGTTTTTTTTTATACATGCCAAGTCCTTTTGTAAATGGTGGCTGACTTTGTCGGATCTTCCATTGTAGCATTTCATCAGATGGAATTTATACGAACAAACGATTGAAAGACAAAATAATTAAAAACATAAAGCATAGGCCTGGCCAAAGTTGAATTATGGGCAGAAAGACAACATTTTCGTGAGTTTTGGTGAAAATAATTAAAAAAAAAAAAAAATGGTGTTTTTTTGTAAATAGGGAGGGGACTATCAAAAACATTTTTTTTACATGGCCTAATCATAGTTTCTAGTTTTTTTAATGTATCATGTTTATGTTTATAACTTAGGTGTGAAAAACTCTAGAGATTTGAAAGCAGTTGAAGAAGGGCGTGATGTTGATACTGAAGAGGTGAGACAATTTATTCTCATACAACTAAAAATTTGAGAGAGCACCTTAGCTCAGACAACTAAACTGGTGGTAGCCACTGCGTGTGCGCTGAACCGTGGAGATCTCTTTGTCCCCGGTTTAATTCCTATCGTTGCTCGCCTTGTATTTCTTCTGGAGGGCTGAAATGCAAGTTACGATAGCGAACTGTCTTTCGAATAAGATGTTTGGTCCTGTGTGCATTACGGCCCATGTGCATGTTAAATTCCGCAGTAGACTCTCTGGAAAAGAATAGGGGATTGTCTCCTGGTGTGCCAACCGCCACCAAAAAAAAAAATGAGTGGGGAAGGAAAGTAAATTCCCATTTAGGTCTTAGAGTGCCATTTTTGTCCCATAGTCTTCAACTTTTTACTGTTATTATTATTATTATTATTATTATTATTATTATTATTATTATTATTATAAAACCTGCCTTAAAGGGAAATTAGACAATTGAAAAAACGACATTAAGGGGAAAATAACACAAAAGATATTCCCCTTAAGTCCGATTAGTGAAATTATTATTATTATTATATTTTTTATTATATTTATTATTATATTTATTATTATTGTTCTCACTTTATAATTTTAAGTTTTTAATCATTATTTATTACAATTCATAAAACCACTTCTACTCCGTTAGAAAGCTGAATGCTTGGACAACACAACCAAAAAAGGTAGTCAAGAATTACGCTCTAGCGATTCCAGCTCCAGCGATGTCCGCCAGCCAGCTGTCAATCATAGGTACAGTATGTCAGTCATCCTGGTTTTCTTGCTTATGCCACCTCATTTCATTATAAAATAAATAAAATAGTATTTAAAATTATATACATATGTATATATATATGATATTGATGTCCTTATTAAACACTGCATATGTACCTTTGATGATATATATATATACCTTTATTCGGCTCTTAGGGGGAAACTCTTTTGTCTATTATTTCGCCTTAACGTCGCTTTAGTTTCCCCTTAGCGACACTACTTTCGCCTTAAGGCACTGTTTTTAACCCACTTGATTGTTTTAGTTTCCCCCTATGGATACTTCTAAGCTCCTATGTGCTTTCCAGAAAATTAGAGAAAAATGAAAAGGAGTGCAATTAAAAGGAAATTAAAAAATAAAAGAAAAAGATGGAAAAAGGAGAAAACTAATAAAAATTATTGTAAAAAATCATATTATGGATCAACTAAGAACAGATCAAAAAATATTTTTTTTTTTGCTGATTTACATGTAGTTACTTGACAAATCCTTCAATTGATTACCAATAAAAGTACATAAAGGTCTATTGTAAAGGAATACAAGAAAGGTATTATTAACATGCCTATTTATTGAAGAGGTAATTTTTTCTATATATTTTTATTGTAAGTTAATAATTTACTTCAATGGAATTGCATTTTTCAATTTTTTTAGTACATGACAAATAGTATATTTTTAAATAAAACCAAGATTAAAAAAAATTTTGTGTTTTACTTGACAAATCCTTCAATTGATTACCAATAAAAGTACATAAAGGTCTATTGTAAAGGAATACAAGAAAGGTATTATTAACATGCCTATTTATTGATGAGGTAATTTTTTCTCATATTTTTATTGTAAGTTAATAACTTACTTCAATGGAATTGCATTTTTCAATTTTTTTAGTACATGACAAACAGTATATTGTTAAATAACAAACAGTATATTGTTAAATAAAACCAAGATTAAGTTTGTTTGCACTTATAGGAGTAAAGCTGTTAAATAGAGTTTGTGTGTATTGTTTGTACCTCCCGCCTGAACCACTCTGCCCATTCACGATTTTTTTGCACATTGTCAACTTTTAAAATGTTAAAGAATTTGCTGTATATTTACAGTGCCCAATGATGCCTATTCTAATGCCCTTCTATTGAATGAGTCAATTTTATGATAATACATTTCTGTTTAATCGAGATATCTTGACCTGAGCATAATAGAATTTTGTAGTACTGTACAAACTCCTTTTTTTTGGGTGGCAAGTTCAAAACGGATGGCCATAAATCAAATAAGATAATCAAGGATTTGTATCAGCCAACTACTTGCACAATATATCAGGCAGCCTTATTCTATCAAGTACAATTGTAATAGGTTGAGAAACCCATTCATTATCAATTCAATGTAACAAAGCATTCAAGAGATAATTTAATACCTATTTTTACAAATGTACTATTGCCATACCTTGCTCAAACTCCTATTTATTAACAAATGTTATCTGCTTTATTATTCTTAATTGTAGGTAACCTGTACTACCTCTGTCTCTTATACACATCTAGATGTGTATAAGAGACAGGTCTTAGAGTGCCATTTTTGTCCCATAGTCTTCAACTTTTTACTGTTATTATTATTATTATTATTATTATTATTATTATTATTATAAAACCTGCCTTAAAGGGAAATTAAACAATTGAAAAAACAACATTAAGGGGAAAATAACACAAAGATATTCCCCTTAAGTCTGATTAGTGAAATTATTATTATTATTATATTTTTTATTATATTTATTATTATATTTATTATTATTGTTCTCACTTTATAATTTGCAGTTTTTAATCATTATTTATTACAATTTTGTTCATAAAACCACTTCTCTACTCCGTTAGAAAGCTGAATGCTTGGACAATACAACCAAAAAAGGTAGTCAAGAATTACGCTCTAGCGATTCCAGCTCCAACGATGTCCGCCAGCCAGCTGTCAATCATAGGTAACCCCCCCCCCACCCATCCCAACAGTATTAAAATCTACTCCGTAGCGTCCATGCAGCATGAGAACACCACAAATCCGGGTCCTCGAGCTGTCTTTGATTGCCACCCACACCATCCCTTGTATCTTGTCCGAACACAAACTCTGATTGAAATTATGAGCTACAGTAGGATAGGGTTAAACGCGACAATCACAACAAACCCTTTCACACTTTTTATTCTTTTATCAAAATTTTGTTTTATTATTCAATGGCCGTATTCGACTGGTCGTTCTTCGTTAAACTATGCCCACCTGCACAGTGGTAAAATCCTACTTAACGAAGACGACCAGTCGAATAGAAAACTGGTAAATACTCGACAAAGTATTGAGTATTGAGCATCCAGGAGGCATTGAACATGGTGATGATGACAATAATAATAGTAAATTTCCAACTTTTATATTTCTGCCATCGTTGCTTAATGTTGATTGATTAATTGCTATTATTTGATGTTAAACTTAAAAAATAATGTTAATCCAATAGCCTACCGTTAGCAATTGTTTAACTATGATGCTGTATATTGGATGGTTCTTAGGCGATACTGCCCCATAGGCAATTGCTATTATATGAAAATAAAGGTTTTTGAATACGATTTGGTGAATTTATTATTATTTATTTTATTTCCATCATATTTAATAAGGTTGACCCTTCCAGATCAAAGGCAAGCCAGTGAGTTGATCAAAAGAAGTCATTGATGTCAATAAAATTCATTGTCATTAAAACATGTGTTTTTTGATAAATTTGATAAATATGTACAAATATTATGTAATATAATAAAACATTTTTATTGTCGCATAGATATAAAATTTTCCACACAAAGCTTAGTTAATAGTGCAACTACAGAGACCAGCACAATCTTAAGGCAATTGTTAACACTTTTCAATATTAATGAAAATCTTTAAAAAAAGATAATTTGCTAATTTTGTAAATGATAATGTCAACAGAAAAATAGGCCTTGTACTTATGAACTGATAACACACCCCTGGTAATTTTTTAGTGTATGGAATCAATATTGATGAATTCAACACAAAATTTGCCAATTTAAGTTGGGACAACTGTTTCGTTGACACTGATATCAACTGCTCATGGCTACTTTTTTAACAGAATTTTATGAATTAATAGCCAGACGCCTTTGGGGGACTTCAGTTATTTTGGAGTTGTTGTCTAGAGAAAATAAAACATCTTAAAAAAGAAAAGAAAAGCTAAAATGGTTTTGTGTGACAAAAGAGAATTCAATTGCAACATCCTCCTTTCATATAAGACAAATGTTGAATTATGAAACTTGATAGGAAAAACAGGTTAATCAAAACAAGATTAGATGGAATTAATAAATGTTTTCATAATTTGTAGTAATTTAAAAAGTCCCATATGTTACATATTAAGAAGATACAAATAGTTGTTTTTATTGACAAACTTGGGATAACAGCCATCCAACTTAGCAATACAATACATATCAAGCATGGTAAGATTTAAACAATACACCGTTCTCCTAATAACATACGGTAATAAACATTTACTAATTTTCACTGGTTTTTAAGATTTCATTTAGATAATAATTTATACCCATGTTCTGGCGTATGTGGGCGGTCAAGGCGTGTTCACATAAAACATGCAGTTCCGTTTGTACTTTTCCACACCCACATAACCGCTCTTCCGATGGGGTGCGGGACCACCGACCTGTTTCAAATTTTTGTACATCAAATTTTATATATTATTGTGTTATATTGTGGTTGGGAGAACCAATTAGAAAGCAATACTTTTTGCTATTCGCAATTCTGTCATCTGAGCAAATAATAATATTTGCGGATTTATGTTTCTTTAGAATTTCATACAGTGCCATAATCATAAATGTGAGGTCTCACCACGAAATGAGATGCATCGTTGGTGAAATCGTATTGAGATATTAACCTAAATAGGTCAAATGCAACATTTATACAAAATTTTGATTTTAATGTTATGGAATAACTTGATACTTAAAATTTTATGATTGTGTACTTTTTAAGTGAATTTACTTACTCTAAAAACAGTGTTCTCTTCGCATATTCTGTAATTCTAGTCCTATTATTTGTACAGGTTAGTTTATCTTTGAGGCCAATTTTCTCAAAATGTCATTCTTATACACCTAAACTTTAAAAAGGCTCACATCTCCGGATTTACTTATAGTAGGAAGTCATTCATAGACCAAATGAAATCTTATAATGTGATCTACCCAACTATAACATAAACTCAATTTTTGAATTTCTAACCATGAGACTCATTTTGTGGACATACCTCACATATTTTATACAGTGCTATAATCAAAAATTGTCTTACCTCTCCCTTAAACATGGTGGGGTGAGGTGGTCTAGACTCCCTGTATGTGAAAATCCCTCCCTGGTCCCTCCTCTATTTTGAATTCCTGGATCTCCACTATACTGTATTGTATGATGTATAATGAAAGGTTACAGTCATTGCCAGTGAGTTAAATGTCACTTCAAGAAATATAATCTAGTCCAGGACACATTTATATACATAGGTCATTAGAAGTGTAACATTGATATTTCCCTAGAACTGCTATTTGCAGCAATTTTTCTTCCTGATTTGACAGCTTCTTACTGCTCAGATATATCTTATTGCTTCCTGTGTTTTTGAAATAGAACTGATACAAAAGTTTTTATATTTAGCATGAAAAATTGTCTACAGTTTTCTGAAATGGCAGATGTTGCAAAGGTTGTTAATTGCCAAAGGCATTTTTAGCTTAAAACAAATACAACTGATGTCCTCTACTCATTGCTGTGTTATGTAAATTGATTGTATGATTATCTTTATATTATATTACAGTACAGAAGTTATATAATAATTTTATATGACTTATGATACTATGTATAATAGTATATATATATATATATATATATATATATATATACCAAATTCTAGTGCAATTTACAACCATTATGAAGTTTATCATTCATTGTCATTTAATCCTTTGTTCATTACTTAATGATCATAGTGTACCACCTTTCAACTACCGAATTTACTCTGCACATGCTCAGTCTTACAATTAATCAATCTGTGATAATCTTAGTCATTAGACGATAGAGATAAACTCTAAATCTTCTTGCAGTGATGCTGTAAGTGCATATACATTAATTTTTAAACGTTATAAAGAAGAGGAATTTGCGAGTGTGAAAAAAGCAGGTGCCCTTATTTATATAAGTTTCAAAATTATTGCTAATTATTTATAAAAATTATTCCTAATTTATTTATAAAATAAAAAACAGACTAATCAAAAGTAATTATTTATTTTAATTATTGTTTGGTAAAGATTATGTAATTTCAAGAATGAATGGATTCTAGGAGGGAATTTCATTGTTCGTGTTATGTCATTTTTATAGCTTAGGGCCCTATGGTCGTATGTGTGTGTGTGTGTGTGTGTATAGGCCAAATGCATCCCTGTTTTTGAACGCTTCTGAATCCACCTCTGTCTCAAACTATCATATTATCTTTTATCTTTCAGTCGTATACATGGCCCCAGTCGGTTAACGTTTGGTCCCCAGCCGCCTATGTGAGTTTTACGTTCACCATTATTCATCAGAAGTCTATTCAGCTAAGCTATTTGCCTCACACAGTTGTCTCAGAATTTAATATAAAACAAATGTAATAATTTAATAATCATTAATATTATTCTTACATTGTACAGAAAAGGTGAGATAAGTGCCATTAATGATATAAACAGACTTCTCATAAATGCATTTTGGGCCTCTAGGAAACAACCACATTCCCCCACCCAACCACTAATCTAAACAGCCTGTTTAGACTGCCTAGCCAGATCCACCACTGCAGTGATCCCTTATTAAAGTTTCACCTGTAGAATTATCTATAATATTAATTTTTTTTCCCGTTTATAGACACGCACCTAACCGGGGAACTCCATACAAGCAGCAGAAAGTACCAGTTCCTGGAGCCCATCGACCAATGAGAATGAGGGCTGGTAGAGGACGAGGACGAACAAGGTAAGACACCCTAATTGATATTGCTATAAATAAAAAAAAACCAAAAAACAGCTAATTTAAACTCAACTAAATGCAATTGACCAACCAATAGTTGCAGTTAAAAACCAGAGTCACTTAAACTTGGTTGATGCAAAATAAAGCTCACGTGCGCGATTGATTTCTTTTCTTCTTTTTTTTTTCAATTTTTTCGAAATACTAAGCTATATTCAGTCTTTTCACACAAAGCTAACCCCTGTAATCCTGAGACCACCCCAAATTGCCAGGTCATAAAGGTGGTCTGGAATTGTAAGACAAACTATATACTGTTATTACTTTTTTTTTTTTTTTTAATTTTAGTTTCAGACCATGGGATTTCCAATGTTTCCATGATCTTTAGCAGATTTGGTCTCTAATTAGAATATAGAAGATAAAATGCATGCAAAATATGTGTGTGTTTTATTCATGTTTACAATGAAAAACAATTATTTCATTTATTATTTACATCTCTCTTTTGTTGTAATGTAGTTCATGGACTATTGATGGTAAAATCCAAACAAAAAAAGAAAAAGAATCAAAATTAATTGAGACAAGAAAAAACGAGGAGGAAGAGGAGAAACTCAGACTCGAAGTTCAAAGGTTGCAGGAAGAGAAATTGAATGCCGAAGCAAGACTGCAGGCAATTGAAAAAGAGTACGAGGCCCAACGGAAGACATTATTAGAGGGCGCTACTAATGCTGCTACGGTTAGCTTCATATATATTTAATTTTATTTTTTTCAATTGTATTATTTTTTAAAAACAATTAAAGGGTGACTCTTCCAGCTAATCCAAGAATGTGAGCTAATGTTCAGAGGCCGTCTTATTCTTTTTTTTATCATTAATTTAGTATTGAACAATAAACAATGGGGGTTTTAAATTATCATCAATTTCTGGATGGTTCACTATCACTAAATATTATTACTAATTTTTTTTTGTTCATTTCAAATAGAATCGAGAAAACGCACTGAAAACTGAAATTGAGGAGTTGAGAGAAGAACTGAAGAATCAGGTTAAGCAAATGAAAGACAACAATGCCATGGTTGTACACCTTCAACAGGAACTCATCAAAATGCAGTCTGAACAGATACGCACGAACGCACGTGATAAGCGTGCTGAAAGTACCATGAACATGCGCAAAAAATCCACCTCAAACCAAAGCAAAGTGTGTGTTCTTAGTTAGCGTAAAATGCATTTTTCGGAGATTAGCGGGAAAATTCTGTGTTTCAATGGGCGTACAGTAGGTACACCCAAATGGGTGCTGCGCAGTTCCGAGTAGTAATTACAATCTCTTGTATCTCTTTGTATGGATATACAACCAGCCCCATTTTCTCGTTGCAGATTGAAATTACCTGGCTCCGTGCACTGATAACTCCGGGAAATTCGTTTTTTCAACGTGTTTTAACCTTCAAATATATACTTAATATTAAGTAATACTTAGAGAACCCATTAGGTTACTAGGTGTGCTCATGAGATGCCTAAAGTTATTGCCTTTGGAAAACAAATACATTTCAGGCAACATGCTCATTTTAACTCTGTGCTACTGCATACCCTTCTGTCATAGTGAAACAATTTTCCTACTGGTGTATATATCAGGGATATTATGGGTATCAGCAATTAATAGTAGCCATACTCAGGACATAAGAAGAAATGTAAAAATGTACAAAATACAATTGAAAAAATACGAATTGAAATTTGTGAAGTCTGGGATAGGCTTAAAGCTACATTCACATCAAGCCCCGATCTGGTCGGGAGCCCGAACAAAAAATCTTAAGTTGCTACGTTTTTTAAACGCATTCATATATGTATGTGTTCAATTGGTTCGAACCAACCAAGCTTGTTGCTGATTGGTCCAAGTGGAAAAAACGTACGATTTCGCGATCCAAATGGCTCTCAGATCTATCAGTCCGGATTTGAAATCGTACGAATTTGATATGAACGGTCCTATTCTTTACCACTGAACCCATTTTCCATGATTTTTTGCTTGGCCACCGGACCAGATTCGGGCTTTGATGTGAACATAGCTTTAGGCGTATCAATATGGCACTATTTAGTTTACAGAGTTCTGCTACATTCCAATGCACCTGTGATCGTAGCAAATGCAGCCTGTGAACAACCGCAATCACGGTATGAAATGCGTATAGTATTTGAAAATATACATTGGTGAATACTCTTACTACGCAACCCACTCGTTATCAATTTTAGATTCGCAATGAATTCATAATGCCCAGCCTATTAAGCTTCACTCCTGCTAGCGTTAATGATTATATTTGATAATATGTAATCAATCTATTAAGTGGTGGATTCAAGGGGGTCCACTGCCCCCTGAGCTTGTCAAAATTATGTTTAAAATGTAGAAAAGTGTGAGTGCCATTTCCGGCCATCTAGAGGTGCCATAATCCTAAATTACCTCAGCCCCGACTAAGGTGTTCTATTTGAGGAAGTCCCCCTACTGGGGCCCCTTCTATTTTAAATTCCTTGTTCCGCCACTTGCTAGTTATCGGTTTAATGATTTGAAGTGCCGCCATATTTGTATTCACGACTTCATCTTAGCTACATCCTTCAAATCTTGACTTGTCAAATCGTGATCACCGGTTGACTAAGTATTGGAACGCTTTTCACGACTTTTGAAGGTGTGATCAAAGGTACTTGGAACATGGCTTATTTATAGTATCTTGAAATGGCATAGCACAGTTAGTATTTTATTCAATATCTAGCAGTATAAAACATTAACTAGAAACAATGAAAGATCATCATTTTATATAAATTTATAAGAAGTAATGAGATAGAGATAAAATTTATCAATAATATATAATGTAGTAAATGAGTACACATCCGTCTTGTCCTCAAGACTTCATCAGCGTAACCCAATTTTCTGTCTTATTTCTGTTTTATTATTTGAACACACGTTGACTAATATGACTATATATATATATATGTATGTGTGTATATATGTATGTATATATATATATATATGTATATATATATATAATGAGATTAAAACAAATGTAGATTCCTACGTAACTCCATTTATTTAATTGAATTTTCATACTTTGTACATGAAAATTATTGTTTCATCCGCATTCCTGTGCTGTAATTAGATATACACGAATCATTAAAATTAAGTTTTACAGATTTTTAAACAAATTTATGTGAATCAATTGTATAGAAATAAATCGTTGAAGCAAGTATTAAATTCCGTCCATATTGACAACATTCCGTATGTTTCTTATATCCTGCAGCTGTAAATATTCATTAATTTTTTTTTAAATCATTATTTTGAAAAGTTAATAGTGAGTTTTCGCACGCTTAATTACGAAAACGATAACGAATACGGTTACATCATCAAATTTTTAGACAACCATTCCCCTACAGTAGCATGTCTGTAACAACGTAGGCAATTCATGCCTTTTGCATGAATCAGGATCATATTCAGCTCATACAGCATATGAGGCATGTTGTGGCAAAATGGCTAAGTTGTAGCAAAATTTGAAATTCAAGTTATTGGTATTTTCATATACCTGAGTATGTTATCTTTAAAATGAGGGGTCATTCATTGAAATTGGACTTTTCAAGCCTAAGTTATTGAAAAGTAAAAATAATACGGCACTCTTACAGTCAAGATAAACATGTTTTTGAGTAATTGCCTTCCAAAGTTATTTGTTCATACATTGTTTAATAGAATTAACTATCTAAATAACATTAAATAAACATTTTGTTGACCACTTCCAGAACTAAAACACTAATGACGATAATGATAATGACGTATTTGTATTCTTTATCGTTTTCATAAGGTTGCAAAATCTCGGTATTTTCAATAATTACAATAAAATGTTTTTATGACGAATGTATAGTGTAGTTATATGCAAAATAGTATATTTTCCACTCTGGTTCTTAATGCAATCAATGTAATTGCTTAAATTGTTGGTTGTTTTTTTTTTAAATCAATAAACCTATGCTAAAGTCCAGATATATATATTATGTACAAACATTTTAAAAATGTGTGAATTTGTACTGCATGATATACTTTTACAATGTAACTACTATATTCTTTATTCATATTTTAATGCCAAGCAGTGGTAACGCCTGGATTTTTTCTGCCAGTAATCATATTTCTAAGACTTGCATTGATACGTTCCGTCCATTGTCACCAAGTGATCTTAAACGTATATACAAAAAAATAAAGATTATAATAATAATGATTCCATTGTTGTTTGGGATTATTATTAGCGTCTTCGGTGAATGAAGCCCTGGGGGCGCCAATGTTTCTACTTATTATTTTTTAGACTATTATTCCCCATTGTTTTGTTTCCTTGTTTTCAAAAGTTTGGCTAGTCTGATTGGTTTTAACAATGAATGCAATGCAAGATGCCTATTATTTTTTGTACCTCGAACCCCGAAATAGTAACCCATAATCTAATAGTAACCCACCCTAAAAAACAAAGAATAGTAAACTAGTGTATATATACAACTTGATCGATTAGCAGTGGTTCCCAACTTTTTTCGTTCGCGGACCCATCTGGGCATGTAAAAAGTCTTCGCGGACCCCATGTCTATATTCATTGTCCATATCCCAACAAA